GTAGCATTAAGGGGATTTCTGTAATCTTGATTGACTATACAAGTATGAACAGTTGGATTGGTGCAATATTAAGGGGTAAAAATGTGTGATTTTCTAATTTTGATAGCTGAATTAAACAGAAATGATCTCATTCTTCTTTGTTGTAAATTGTAAAAGGAAATTTTTATGATACACTGTAATTGGTTCATTAGATGTTTAGCAAGTTTCGCTCCTGTGAATGAAATATATTTGTTAAAGAGCAAGTAGATAACAAACAAAACATTTTGCTGTGATAAGGTTTCAAAAAATTTTTTGAGAGAAAAAAAATCATGAAAAGAAGGTTTTGGTCAATCAATGCTTAAATTGAAGGTGTTTTTTTGTCTAAGAAGTTCTCTGATATGTCATAACTTGCATTAATATCAAGAGAAGCTTCAGTGTCTTCCAAAATATTTTCTGAAGTACACTTTTTGCCTTTTTTGATAGCAACAGGTTGATTTTCATCATCACAACTGGCATTCTGATAGAATATTGAGAGTTTTTTTTGCATATTATTTTTTGTTAGTTTAAAAAGGCGAAGCAGAACATACTATTTGCTTAGTTTTTTGTTCTCTCTTATTTTGTAACATTAGTAGTGAAAAGAGTCATATTGTATCTATTGTATCACCTTATTATTTTTTGAATCAGGGTAATAGTATCAGTATGATGGTAATGACTCTTATTGTGTTACAATTATCCACTCAAGACTTCAACTAAATCTCTCCATTTTATAGACAAATCTTATACTTTTGATTAGCCTAGATCTTACTATATATGTTACTACCTCTTCTCCTATATCAAACAATATGGATACAGACTCCTGACACCAAAGGAAAAAAGAAAGTAACCTGGGATGAAGACTTTGAACCCTACAAACAATACATCGCTGATAAAAATGATAATGTCAACAACAAATCTTTTACCATCATCACATCACCAACGCATTTTTACGCGTCTACAGATACAAAGGATGTCACTGGTTCCTCAATTGCAGAAAAACGTTACACGATCAACAAACTTTTCAGCCACTTTGATGGATATAGGGGGTTGTACTACAATACTAGACAAAGGAAATTCTATATTTATTTTCATACATTAGACTCCACAACACAAGCAACTGATAAAGTTAAAGAAACTTAACACAACCCAATTTTTTTAGTAATTGACCCCAATACCAAACAACAACACAAAGACAATGAAAAAGGCAGATGCATTAAAGTCAATGATATTCCTTTATTTGTAAAATAGTATATTGTACGAAACGTTTTCAATGATCACCAGAGGTCCTTGGCAAATTGCTTTCATTGTATATGAATCACCTGACTCTTTTCAACAATTTTATGATATCACTTGGTCTATCTTACTAATGGAATTTTCAGTTAGAATTGAACCTACTGACATTAATGAAATTCAAACTGCTCTTCGCCAACAATTTGAACTTAAACTCACTAGACTCCCCTTTAACATTATTCAATTAGATCTCTCTGACTTTTTGACTCAGATCAAAGCAAAGTCATGTTTTATCCCAAGAGACAAACAATATCGTCTCAGACTATATGCATATATTAACTTTGATAATATTGATAATTATGATAACGCTTTTAACTTACAACTAAAATTTAAAAATTGTATCTTATTTTGGATTACTTCTGGAATCCAACACTGTCTCTCCAGATCACGAGGTACAATCATGTGATAACCGCCCTTATCCTAATCCTTTTAAACCTCTTTATGATAAATTCAAATCAGCTCAATACAAACCTAAACCTTTCACACTACGATCTAATATTTCACGTAATCACAAGTCAAATAATCAATCAAAAAACCCCTCTTATTCTGACTCTATTCAAAATAGAAATGATAATCAAACAAATCATTCAAGCAAACAGAATCAAACACCTCCTCCAACTGTTGCCTCAGCTATTAAATCGATAATGGAACAATTAACTTCCTTGGAAAATAAATTTCAATTACTGGAAGACGAAATAATTAAAACTCAGAACGCATGCATCAAATTAAAACAAATCCAACTTCACACTATCAACCAAGTTGAAACCATTGAAAATCAACTACATATCAGTAAACCAACTCCATTTAATAATACATTATCAAACTATTTTGCTCTCAATGAAAATGATTATTTCTCTCACAACGAATTCGTTCCTATTCAAAATCGTCTTCCCATTACATTCTTCATCTACATCACGTGACCAAATGATCGACCAACAAGAAAGACAAATTTCTTTATTACAAGATAACTTCAGCGATGCCAAAAATGATCTCAAAATTATGAAAGATGCTATGATGCAATTTTTACAAACACATTCCAATACTCCTCAATGAATATCATTGCCGAAAGAATAAGGACTGTATGAATTACAAAGACTTTTAGAAATGCTTCTTACATTAGAAATTTTTAAATCTAGACATCCTATTTTATATAATAGTTAATGGCTATATATCCAATGCGATGCTGACAGGTGTTACAAAAAGGAGTGGAATCAGGTGGAGGTGATGAGTATAGTATGTCATGTGAAAAGCTATTGAGTATAATTCAAAAAATTTACTATACTCATCTGTATATATATTAGCATTTGAAAGAAGTGGTGTATGCTTCATATTTATATATATTTATACTCAACTGCTTTATTATAATTAAAGTTGAGTTGTGATATTATTTAATTAAGTATTTCATTAGAAATAAATGTTCAATTTTATTATATTTCTTAAACTTTTCATAACCAACTTAATTAAAAATTATTGCCTAATTAGTATTAGTTATTTCAATTGACGCTCTTTTTCAAGATTAGTCAATTCTATTACACAAATTTTAGCTTCACGTTCCTTTAAACAAGTTTACGCTCTTTAAGAGCTAAATCCTTCTCCTGATATTCAAGTTCATTAAATTTTGAGGTCAACTTATTTTCTTTACCATCTTCATTTTCAACCTCAGTATCAGAATCAATTACAATAGTTTTTCTACTTCTTTTCTTATTACCGGATTGCACATTTTGTTTATGCTTTACAAGCATTGACTTTGATTTCAAAGTATTTGATTTCTTAATTTGTATAAGAGCTAATGCATAAATAAATCAAATAATGTAATTAGAATTCAATATTAATTAATTTAAATATATTTTAGTGTATTATAATATTACCTTTACGTTTATTTGATTGTACATTTTGTGTGATAGGATTTTTATCACATCCACGATTAGGCACATTATATTTTTGATGATTATAAATAGCTGTAAATCTTTTTTATCAAATTTTTGCCCTCTATAATAATAAACAATAAATATTAATAATAATTTTTTAAACCAAATAAAATCCATTATAATATAAATATATTTATATTAATACATACTGTATAATAGCAGTTACCAATTTAAGACCCTTTCCATAACAATTACTTAATGCATGTGCTGCTTCTGCAACATTGGTATTATTAGGCGCGTTTCACTGTCAATTTTTGATATACATCTATCTAATGATGCAATGACCCATCGCTGTCTATAAAATATAACCCAATCTAATAAAAAAGTAATAAGTTTTTTTATAAAAATTTTAAATTAGTATTATAAAAAAATTATATTTTTTTACTAACCTGCGACACTTTCAATCATTTGAATATTATCAAATAATCTATTAATTGCATCTTCTGATACAACTGTAAGAAGTGCATACATGTCATTTTTTACACTATTATCATACATAATGTTTTTCTCGAATTTTTCTGTATAATAAATATCATACAACATAATTGTTAAATATATTAATAGTAATAATAATTACATAAAGCAAATTAAAATCCTACTCTTACCTCTTATAATGTACATGACATGACTTGAAAATATGAACTAAATCTCTTTCCAGTCTTTTGTTGCATCTATTTCATTCAATACTAATCCCAAACCTTTTGCTTGTGCATAATCTAAATCTGCAATTATGCAATCCCATCCAGTTTTATGAATATGTTTAAATTGAGGAAATGAACCCATTAATTGAAATACAAGATCAAATAATACATGAAAAATTCTTTGATATGCAATAAAAAATTTAAATTAATATATAATTTTTTTATGAAAATTGTATTTAATCAAATTAACTTACTTAAATTATGCTGTAAATTATAATAATTAACTTCAAATTCATTTATTATTTAATTAAAAGATCCATTTGGAAGCGTTTAACTTTTACCCATTCAGACAATTGTTTAAAAGTAGTATAAATAATCATTATATGATTATCTTCAAAATTCTAATGAATATAAAATATAATAATTATGTATTAATAACTTTAATAATGATATTTTAAATTAATACTTTAATTTATCTTACTTAAATGCAGAAATTATTAATATTTCGTGCATAATTGTAAACAACTCCAAGAATCCATAACCCTAGGGATGAATTTCTTTTTGGATTTTATCAATATAATATTAGAATTATTTAATGAAGCATGAAATGTCAGCAAGATACTTAGTGCCAAAATATGTTTCAATAAGATTTCCTAATAAATAAAAAGCATTTATAATTAAATTAAATTATGTTTAAAATAATTAAATTTTCTGATAAAATTTAATATTAGTTACCTGATATAATATGAGTTGGTGTAATATTTATGGTATCATTATTTGCTTGGTAATTAATTATTGTAACTGAACACGAATAGTAATTGGCACACGGTTAGGTTGAGGTGGTGGGTGAGAATGAATGCCTTTAGATACAAGAATCATATATGGGTATTTATCTATATCTAATGGAATTATTTTGTAATATTTAACTCCACATTGTTTTCGAATTATAGATCCTTGTTTAATAATATTTTTTGCACAATGTGGATATGCTAAATAAATAAAATTATAAATAAATTATTTTTAATTTAATATTAAATTAATATTCATTTTAAAACTTACGACATATAATTTTTTTTGAATTATTATGCAATACTATAGAACTAAATTTCCATGAAGCTAAAGAAATGAATTTAATTATAAAAAATATATATTTTATTATTTATTATAATAACTAAAGTTAGTAGTTAACAGAAACTTTGTCTCTCTTAGAAAATTACCCTAAATAAAATATTTAATAAAACAATTAACTTAGCAAAACAAAATTTAAAATTAAAAATACAACCTCGTATAATCCATTCAAAAGTTGACAAAGTAGGTTAAGATCTACATTTTCCTTAATACTAATAAACTTGTGAAACTTTTCATTTATCCATTCAAAACAAACATTTTAATACAAGTTTTCCGGTACATTGCATTTCATTCTGCATATATCAACATTTAGTTTTATATGCTGCTAAATATACACTAAATAAAATAAATTAGATAAAATAATCATTACTATAAATATTTAAGCTATACAAGTAATACTTACGCAAATGTATTATTTTCTACATTATGAGTTAATAGATCTTCATTTATTTTTAGACGTAAATCAGAATCTGGATCTACTGATACATGATTCATTTCTTGAAGTTCTGAACTTGCAAATTCACATATTTTTAGCCCTTAACAAGTTCTATCTTTTTTATGTATAGTAATATTACCAAGATAAGAATAAGTTGCATTATTCTGACCACCAGGTTTACCCATAGAATATTGAATCTTTAAAAAATTAAGTTAATCTGCAACATAAAAAAAAAAATAAGTAAATTATTATTATTAATAAAATGTATGTATTATTTTAAAAATTATATTTATATTTACATCATTAAATGCTGCTTCTTTATTTTCCCATCCTTCAACATGATAAATTATTGCAACACCTTCCTTACTTGTTGGTGGATATTCCATTGAAATTAATGAGTGAATAATTGTTTTAACAGTCATATGCTTTGTAAGATATATTTCTATATCTTCTTTCGATTCAATATAACACGTCTATTAGGGTTCCGCAATTCGATTTGACATTTGAATATTTGATTTGAAAATCAAATCAAATACAAATTCAAATATATATTTGATTTGATTTGATCAAATTCAAATCAAAGAATGATTTATTTGATCAAATCCAAATCAATGTTTGATTCGA